GTCAACTCCCCTGCAACTTCACATGGAACTCAAGAATAAGGGTCCCCCAAAGGAGATTCCATCCACAAACGTCTTGCTTGCCTGACTGCCTGTCTGCCTGCCTGTCTGCCTGCCTGTCTGTCTGTCTGTCTGTCTGTCTGTCTGTCTGTCTGTCTGTTTGTGTGTCTGTGTTTTTAAATACACCCTACCGGACTTGGTTTAACAAGCCAGGTACCAGGTTGGTGCTTTGGATTGGTTTGGCGATTTGAATCCCCGGTTGTAGACTGATTAATCACTAAAGCATCGAGCTCCAAACCACCAATTAATTAGAAGGAAGCTGAAATTTAGAGGAATCCATCCCAGCTTGGGCGTGTCGAGCATGGTACCCTTTTTGGGTCTTTGCTGCTGTCCTCTTCAAGAAGCTGACAAACTGGTGGTTTGGGGATTTGAACTCCTTGTGCAGGGTAAATGGGAGACCGCCGCCAATCAGAGGGAAGCTGAAGATTCAGAGGAATCAATCCCAACTTGGGCGTGTCAAGTAGGGCACCCTTTTCTAGGGATTTCCTTACCGGAAGCCATTTCTGGGATTGTTTGTTAGGGGTCATTCCATTTCTCATTCCATGAGCACCAGAAAGAGAATGGGATTAAGCTGATTGGTGTCAGGTCATAAGGCAACCAGGGGGTGGAGGGTCTGACTGATGAGCAATTCTGGGCCCATGTGGGTGGATCATGGCTCCTGGTTAGTGCATTGGGTCAATGTCTCATTCCATGGATTCCATGCGATTTCAACCCCTGGTTCTGGGCCCATTTGGGTGGGAGGTGGTTCATGGTCAGTCCATTGTTCTAGGGGTTGATTCCTTGTCCATTCTTTTCAACCCTCGCTCTTTTTTATCAAAAAAACCCGCCGTGTTCCCCTGGGTCTCCGGACCTTTTTCTAGAAAGAAGAAAGATTCGGACCCCTGGGTCCAGAATGGAAATGGCAGGCCTGGAATCAGCCAAGTCCCAAAGCCCCGCACACCTCCCACATTCCTGGAAATGGAAGGCCCCCTGGAATAATGGGGAGATTCAAATCTGCCGTAATATGGCTTTTGGGAGGCCCCCTGGAATGGACGGCCCCCGGGAAGTGGTCCCCTCTGGGGTTTTTCCTTCCGAGGTGAAGGAGATCCAGGCCACCGGCCTGGCCTTCGCAGCTCTGCGGGCCGGTGGCTCCGTGGTGACCTGGGGCGACCCGCGCTTCGGCGGGGACAGCCGAGACGTCCAGGCGGATCATCGGATCTCGGGGGTCTATGTCTTGGTATAGTGTAAAGCTACACACCGATTTTTGTCCTATTCTTCCATATGTATATATATATATTTATATATACTCTGATTCAAAAAAAACCCTTGACTTGAAAGACTTTGTTATACACCGCAACTATCATAGTTTCGGCAATGAGAAAAAGCTTGTACTAAAAGTTCTAGACAGTAGCTAGAACCACATGGAAAAAAGTGGCCACGACTGAACACGTGTCATTAGCAACTGGGGCCGGGCTGGATGACCCCACATGGAGCAGCCCTCTATTTCCTTGCGTCCAACAGAAGCTTTTGGGTTTGTCCTGCGTTTCCTTAGCTGGGGCTGGTCATCCAAGTGGGGCTCATCAAGGAGCGCCACCAGCTTGGGAGCCCCGACATGTCAGGAGCAGCTGGTGGAGGTCCAGCGGCTCCAAGCCTCCGGCGGCGCCTTTGCGGCGATCTGCGCCCACGGGGCCGTGGTGACCTGGGGCGACCCGCGCTTCGGCAGCGACTCCTCCAAGGCGCGGGGAGTGGTTTCCGCGCTGGGCGGCTCGGCTCGGCTTCCCCTACCAACCATAGATTTGCTTTTTGGTTGGATTGGTTGAAAAAATGGAGGGCCCTGGTTTAGATGGGGGTCATTCCATGGTTGTTGGGAAACATTTTACTTATTGTGGTTTAGTAGTTGGAATCCAACCACTTAACTGCAGAAATTTCATTTTTTGTGCTCCCGTGCCAACGTGAGTGACCACCCCCGGATGACGTAATGAGAACACAACGACGCCTTGGGGTCCGCTAAACAGGGCCAGTTCCTTTTGAAGATAGATGGAGTCCACTTGATTCAGATGAATTTAACCTTTTACTTACCAGTGTCGTCTATTTGCAAAAAGGTTACTGAGGGTCGGGTCACCTTGCCACATGCAAAGAGCACTGCGAAAAGGAGGGAAGAAACGAAGCTCGATCAAGGCTTTGTTGGGCAAGTCCTTTGTGATTGCGTGTCCTGCAACGTGCCGCAGCAGCCGAAATGATGGGAGCAGACAGGCTCTGTTCAACTATGTATATTTGCATCTATCCATCTAATCTATCTATCTATTTGTCTGTCTGTCTGTCTGTCTGTCTGTCTGTCTGTCTATCTATCTATCTATATCTCTATCTATCTATCTATGAATCTATCTATCTATCTATCTATCTATCTATCTATCTATCTATCTATCTATCTATCTATCTATCTATCTATCTATCTATCTATCTATCTATCTATCTATCTATCTAATCTATCTATCTATCTAATCTATCTATCTATCTATCTATCTATCTATCTATCTATCTATCTATCTATCTATCTATCTATCTATCTATCTATCTATCTATCTATCTATCTATCTATCTATCCATCTATCTATCTATATATCTATATCTATCTATATCTATCTATATCTATCTATATCTATCTATATCTATCTATATCTATCTATGTCTATCTATGTCTATCTATGTCTATCTATATCTATATATCTACCTATATCTATCTATCGATCTATCTATCTATCTAATCTATCTATCTATCTATCTATCTATCTATCTATCTATCTATCTATCTATCTCTATCTATCTGTCTGTCTGTCTGTCTGTCTGTCTGTCTATCTATCTATCGATCTATCTATCTATCTATCTATCTCTCTCTCCTCTCTCTATCTATCTATCTATCTCTCTCTCTCTCTCTATATATGTGATTATAGATCTGCGTAGATCTCTCCAGGAGGATAACGTTGCGTCTAGCAAGGGGCATGGGACTTATAGATATACATTCATAGTATGATTACATTCCACCTTTGCACGGCACCCTGTGCTTTTCCTTGTTAGATGGCAGGCTGGGGGTGCCATATCTTCTAGAATCTATAGGTTGACTAATATTATATATATATATATAGATATTGAGAGACTATGATAAAATGTCAAATATGTACTGACTTGATGTGTGCCTATTTTAAACCGCGGTTTTCTTGGGGCCAGCCCGGCTTCAAGGGCTCCTAGGGCCTGTCTTGGAAGTTCACATTTCGTGTAAATGGCCATGACACCTGGGGAAGAGGGATCGGCACGCCCTTTGGAGCTTGTCCAGGTCAAATGCAAGCTGTCTCATGAGACGAATGGTTCAATATTGGTTGTTCTCCCCCCAGAGGTAGCCACTTGCCCTGCGGGTTCATACCGGAGGTTCACCCTCAAGTATCCCAATCGGCCGGTACCTCTGGTCCAAAGGGAAATACTGGACCCCTTGACAAGGTTCCAAACAAGGGAGCCACGTTGAGCAAAGCTGGTTTAAACAAGCAATCAATCCTTGGCCCCCACTTTAATGGTTACCCCTGACAAGAAACCCCTCCCCCCTTCAAGGTTGACAAAGTGTACTAAGTGGGGGGGTGGTTACTAATCCCTTCAACTGGGATGTCGCAGCGGCTTGACGTCCGTCCATGGGAGCTCCAGGCTCAGGATCAGCTCCGAAAGCTGTGAGGGATCAGGCCTTTTGATCGCTCGCCTTTTGATTGCGCGCCGAAAAGGAGTTGGCGACTGGGCGGGTGTGTCATTGCTGGTGCAGGGCTGCAGGTGAAAGTGGCCCCGGGTGATCTCCTGGGTTTTCCATACGACGCGATTGGGGTGGAACAGGACCACTCAACAAAAAGAAAAGCGCTCAGTGAAGCCGGGAAGCAAACCCATTGGACACCAAGGGGCTGGGATTTTCTGCTTTGGACCTCGGTGCAAATGGAGGGCTCGGACTCGCTTTGGCTCCCATAGATTCATCCCTTTTGCTCGAAACTGAGAGATGGCGAAGGCTCTTGGACCTAGGCGCTTTGGGCGTGCCATTGGCTTTTGTTCGGAGAACAAGTTCGCTTTGCAAAGACACGGCCAGGCCGAAGCACAACGAATTCCACGTGCGTTGGAGAGTGGTTTCTTGTTTTTTTTTTTTTTTTTTGTCCGGTCAACTACCTGCTTCCCAAGAGTCACGGAGCAGTTTTCCGCCATTTCTAACAAATCATACCTGGGCCCGCAGCTTCGCGTCAGTGTTGGGTGGGTTTCGCTGGTAACGCAGTGTATCCATGTGTCCCTGGATTTTGTGTCCGGGCCCTAGACATAGACCAAGGGCTGAAATAGACTTTGGTCCTCAAAGATCTGAACTAGTCAGATCTTAGGCCTTTTGCGTGTCCTAACCTCCAGATTTACAAAGTCATGTGTGCTTCCCCTTGGTTTTTGCATTCATCAAGCTGAGAGTCTCAGAGTCTGTGAGGGAAGCAAATTCGCACACCCCAATGTAGGAATGGTGAGGATGCAGCATGTGAAAGGCCACAAGTTTTTGACCGCGTTGCATAGGCTCCATTGGCATTGTGAGAGCCTCACTTCCTGAGTTCATGAACTTTAAACCTTTTGGGAAGACCATTTTAGTGGTCAATCTAAAGTTAGTTTGTTTTTTTGGGCCATCCACTCAGCAAGTGCGGAGCAATTGTGCTAGCTTGCAACTCGCGCTAAGGCCCAATGATCAGACCCAGGTCAGCGATATGGGTGTAGAGACCTATCGAGTCATGGATTGTGTTCCCCTTCTTTGCGCGTGCATGCCACGATGTTTAAGCTGTGACCTTGACCCACTTGCCCAACCCCAACCTTTTGACCTTAAGACCTTAAGTTTTCCTATTCTGGTCAATTTTTCATCCTGGACGCTAATGGTGAACCTTTGATCTTTGTGTCAATGCCATTTCTCCGCTCAGGCATGCCGTCCGCGTCACCTACTCGGTCTATGAGGGCCATGAGGCAGCTGCCACCGAGTCTGCAGGCTTGGGCAAAAAAGAAATCGCGCTCGAAGTTCGGTTGAAGGCATCATCTGACATGTTCAGATGGATCAAAGTTGGCCTCAAATTGAACATGCCATGTGTAGTCTTCAGCTAGCATAGCTAGCAGATTGATCAAAGTTGGCCTCAAATTGAGCATGCCATGTGTAGTCTTGAGCTAGCATAGCTAGCAGATTGATCAAAGTTGGCCTCAAATTGAACATGACATGTGTAGTCTTGAGCTAGCATAGCTAGCAGATTGATCAAAGTTGGCCTCAAATTGAACATGCCATGTGTAGTCTTGAGCTAGCATAGCTAGCAGATTGATCAAAGTTGGCCTCAAATTGAACATGCCATGTGTAGTCTTGAGCTAGCATAGCTAGCAGATTGATCAAAGTTGGCCTCAAATTGAACATGCCATGTGTAGTCTTGAGCTAGCATAGCCAGCAGATTGATCAAAGTTGGCCTCAACTTGAACATGCCATGTGTAGTCTTGAGCTAGCATAGCTAGCAGATTGATCAAAGTTGGCCTCAAATTGAACATGCCATGTGTAGTCTTGAGCTAGCATAGCTAGCAGATTGATCAAAGTTGGCCTCAAATTGAACATGCCATGTGTAGTTGTGTAGTCTTGAGCTAGCTAAAGCGTTAGCGGCCAATCCTGGCACAACCATTTTTGCTTTCAGCTCTTGAACAGGAAATGGCGAGGCGGAGAAATTATGGCGCACAATTCAGAGAGTGAGGCATCACTTGAGTTGTGTCCTGGTCATGCTGTTGCGCCCTAAGAGGACAGCTTCGAGTTGATTTCTTGTAGTCAATTAGACACTCGATTTCGGTCTGGCCTTGTACTGTCAGACTAGGCATAGATCAACTAAACGGTGCAGCCATGGCACAAGACCAACCAGGGCATCTTGAGATGGCCACTCGACCGAGATGACATGTTCTCGCGCAATGGAAAGTCATTTTCTGGGTTAGGCGAATCAAGCTTTTGGCTTCGAAAGAGGCCCTCATCTCTCCGGGGCAATGGGCCGCATGCGGAGGTTTCTCACTTTGATACCAGGAACTGCCTCCGGAAGGAGAGCAACTCTTGTTCCACCCTTCTTGACCCAGTTATAGGACTCGATTTTTAACTTTTTGCCAACTCATGGGTTTTCTCCATTAAACCACTAAAAGCTAGTCACTTTTAGATCCACTTTAAACCACTCGTTTTCCATTAAATCACTGGAGGGTCTTTTATTTCCATTCAACCACTAGGAGGGAGCCCTCCCGTTTTGCCCCTTGAGGCGGCCCGAGCTTAGAGGGCGCTGTGGCAGTGCTGCGGCAGATGCTGCGGGCGGCCGGGCCCGAGCAGGCGTGGACTGCGGGGCCTGGGTTTCTGCTGCATTTTTTTGGCCCAGCCCTTGGGGGGAATTTCTGCATTTTTTGCTTCTACTGAGTTGTAGTAGTTGGCCCACAGCTATATGAATTGGTGTCACTCCATTTTGTGCGGGATCCCCGTTTTGGTTGGAACATCGCCCTTGGGTGGGGGGATAACTGGGGTCGTTATTTTGACGGTTTTTGGGGGTTATCAAAGTCAGCAACTTTGGCTTTTTCCCTTTAACGCACCACTCAGGGGGTGACGTTGATCAGGGTAAAATAATAAGGCCAGGATAATTTTGAGAGCCGCTTCTGGTGTTTTTTCTTTATTTTTGGGGGGATCCCCTGTTGGTTGGAACGTCGCCCTTTGGGGGGGCGGGCAAATAATCCACGAGCCACAGTCGCCCCGCAGGAGGCGGAGCTCCTTCAACTGATGGGCCGCGACATCGAAGAACACACGGGTGAGACCGGCCGCTGGGGCCAAACTAAGGGGTTCACAACTTTGCCTTCCATTTGCTATCATTTGTTTAAGGGTAATTGTATTTGTTCCCTTGTTGGTCTTAAAGGGAATCTATCACTATTGGATTTTTTTGCCAGGGGCCTTAACCAAATGGAAATTGCCATTTGGTTAGGTTTTAGTCTTGAACCACCTCTGGGTAAATAGAGCACGGGGCATTCAAAAGTTAAGATGTTTCGCGCAAGGGGCAACAGCCGCACGGTATCAACGAGGTCACCAAGCCAGTTCTTGTTCTTTGAAGGCTCCACCTTCAGCCATGTTCACAAGAAAGGCAAGGAGATCACATCACCATTTGAAGGATGCATTTTAGTCAGCACGTTCCACTGTAGATTTGGGTTGGGGGGTGCGAAATTGCTTTTGCATTCCGAGTCGACTTGCAAATTTGACGGCTAGTGGCACCTTCGTGACCCTTGAATTAACTACGTGTGTGTTTGCTGTTTGCCGATTCTGGTAGTTCCTGGGCACGCATTGACGATACTTGTGATGCCAACTTGGAATGGTCCTTGCCCCCACGCATCAACACCAATTTAGTCCCCCTGTTTGGAAAGACAAATTTAGTGGTTGGCCTA